TTGGGCGAGCCTAAGAAATTGACCAAAAATTGTCATATTTCACACAGATTGTTTTTAGAGCATATTGAACCATATTTTTGTTATTACAAATCAAAATTCTAAAAAGGCGGATTTTCGGCCCACGCTACTGTGGATGAAGGTTCTACAAATAAACCTTCATCACTCTAAAGCAGCTTCTGCAGCTCTGTTCCTCTACCTCAGTGATAAAGGGGAGCTAGTTTTTGTCCAGGAGCCCTCCGCTGTTAATCACAGGGTTTGTGGACTCAACTCTGGTGCTTACCACATAGTGATGGCCCCTATGGCAGGTAAGATCAGAGCATGTATATTAATCAAAAAATTTATTTCGTATAATTTACACACAGTTCAGCGATGAAGATAAGGTTGGCATCTCTGTGGAAAGCCAATCCACGACACTCTGGCTGGTCAGTACCTACAAGGCCTACGATCGCCTAGACTGCCGCTCCGCTCCGTTACTGGATGTGGTGAAAGAGGCCAACTCGAGGAAGTTTCCCATAGTTATCGGAGCCGATGCAAATGCGCATCACACGGTTTGAGGATCTACCGTCATAAACCCCAGGGGTGAGTTGTTACTTGATTTTATACTATTACATAATCTAGCCATCTGTAATATTGGTGATAAACCGACTTTTGTTACCACAAAAAGGAAGAAGGTATTAGATATTATCTCAACGTCTAGCTCTTTCTTTGAGAGTATTAGAGAGAGGAGGATACTGAACGACCATTCATTCTCTAATCACATGTATCTCTCATTTATAATCTCCTTTGAACTTCCGGCCCCACCCGCTTACAGAAATAAAAGACGTACTGACTGGACTAAGTTTAGGAAGGTACCCTCGGAGTATCTGCTCAATGGTGCTTCTCTCAGTAAGCTAAGCTCACTGTCACCACCTGATGAAGCGGAACATTCTCTCGCAAACCTTGCTTCTCTCGGTGATTTCGGCTCATCGGAACAAATTTAGGAAGCCGTTGATTGCATTACCGAAGCCTGTAATTCGGCCTTCCCTGCTTCCTGTCTACTTGTACTTCCGCGATGTGGAGCAAAGAAATCGCCTCTCTAAGGAAGGAAAGCGGGAAACTCTTTAATGCGGCAAAGCGCGATGGTTGTTGGACTGCATACAAGGTAGCCCTGAAGAAATTTAAAGGTGCCACCAGAAAAGCCCAAAAGGACTCGTGGAAGGACTACTGTGATAATATAGAGGGTCAGTCGGAGGGCAATTGCCTGCGGAAGGTGCTTGCGAAAAGTCCAACTAACCCCATGTATGTTCAGAAACCAAATGGTGACTGAACGTCATCTCGTGAGGAATTGCTTGAAGTCCTAATGAACGCGCACCTTCCAGGGTGTACTGCGGAACCTACTGATGTAAAGAGGGTAAACTGGACCATAAGGTCCTTCCATCCCTACAAATTTCCAGGCATGGATGGTATTTTCCGTGCCCAACTTCAGCCAGCTTCTGACGCTTTATATTCGATACTTGTCTTAATCTATTCTTATTCAAAGGTCGGTCCTGTGTAGTTTTTCCAAGTGTCCTGCGTTTGTCCCGCATTTTATTCGATATTTTATAATTTACGGACATGGATGGATTTTTTCAGAAAAGTGTTTTTTGGTACTTTTCGGAGCTTTTCTTCAATATCTCATGAATAAATCTCCCAATCAACGTGAGCGACTTACAATTCGACAGGTATTGATGTGCATCTTACCAAAATATATAAGTTGTGCTGATTTCAATGAAAATTATTAGTGCTACAGGCGCCCATTTTGTATTTTGACGTCAAAGGATTTCAAATGAACTATACAGTTTTATTTGATTATTATTTTTTTATTTTTTCAAATTCGATAAAAAAGATATATCATTACAATAAATTTTGAGCATAAGATAATGAAAATCGGGCTAAATGTAGATGAAGCGCAAATTACATATTATTGTGAAGGGCACACAAATACCTTTGTAACTGTAGATCGTTTCGTCGATTCGTGACGTCGATTTTTGACAAATAAATATTTCGAAAACGCTTCTTTGAAAAAAATGGGTATTGTTTTCGTGTTGAACGACTCAAAGATTGCTAATAAAATTATCTTTTAAAGATGTTCACTTTTCGTATAAGCATTGTAATTATTTATAATAATACTTTTATAAATATTCATTTAAAAAAGATTAATACCGATGAAGAAAACGTGATTGATATTTAAAGTTAAAATGGATTAAGAATTTAGAATTATAAATATACATATACTGTTTAGTTATTTGTATACTATGTAGGTATATATTTGAAAAATTGTCCTGCATTTTCAATCCATACTTATGGTCACCGTATCTAAAAGGCTTGTCTTAAACTTAGTTTCATATCCAAACGCTGGACCATGGCGAAAGTTGTGTTTATTACCAAGGGAGGTAGACCTTCCCACATTAAACCAAGCGACTTTCGACTGATAAGCCTTATTCCTTTCTTTCTCAAGCTTCTGTAAATACTTCTAGACTCGTTAACCTCTCTCGATGTCAACACGCCTACTAGAGAGGTAGATCTGTGGATACAGCTTTGCACTGCAAAGGCCCTCGCTTTTAAGGAGTTTATGCCTTCAATAATGTTCTCCCGGGGGCGGTTCTTCAAGCCCTAACTCGCCTTGAGCAGGATCACCCTACGGCCGAGTTTATTCATCGCGTCTTACAGGCTAACCTAATATTCACGCACGCCGCCAATTTATTGTCAAAAATTTCTCATGCACATGCAACTTGTATGAGATCAACCGAAATTGAACGGCGTGCGTATGAAGCTAACTCAATTTCCAATTTTTGTTCTGCGTGACATTTTGATTTGACGTTTCGCTCAATGAAATCAAATGCAAACGCATGCAAGTCAATTTAGGGTGACGCAAAAAAACAAATTCGACGGCATGCATACCAAAACGCAAGCCGCGAATATTAGGTTAGCCTGTTAGGCAGTAGAGCTATTTATTCGGATATGGGGGAGGTATCTTTAACAAGATATGCAAGGCGCGGGACCCCACAAGGCGGTTTTCTCTCCCCACTTCTTTGGAATCTAACGGTGGATACCCTGCTGTCAGGGTTGCAAGGTACAGGTTGCCAAGTCATTGCTTACGCCGATGCGCCTAACGCGTCGTAGATACCTGGTACAAACAAGCAGGACTTAGTGTCAATCCGGCAAAAGCGGGCATGGTTCTCTTTTCAAAGGAAACGACAGCTGTCCGGCTACAACCTTTTTCCTTGAACGGTGTGGCACTGTTTTTCTCGCAGGAGGTTATATATCTGGGCGTTATCCTTGACAGAAAGTTAACTTGGCGGCGCAGTAAAGAAGAGCATTGCAAGAAAGCTATAACTTCTATGTATGACTGTAAATCGGCGATAGGGAAAAATGGGACTGAAGCCTCACATTGTGAACTGGATGTACATAGAGGTTGTGCATCCCATTCTGTTCTACGGCGCAGCAGTTTGGTGGCACCCACACTGATGGCTCCACGTTGGATCTTACGGTAGGAAGTGGGGTATCCTCGCAAGGACTCTAACTTAGGCTTAGTTTTCGTCTGCCAGATCTATGTAGCGTTTTTCAGGCTGAACTAACAGCAATAAATGAAGCTGCAAGTTGCCTGATCGATTCTCTGATTAATCAGAAGGCAGTGACAATCTTTTCTGACAGCCAAGCGGATACTAAGGCACTTAACTGTACTGTACTGCAGATGAACTAGCGAGGGAAAGGAACCTTGTTGTCTACAATCAGTACAGCTCGTAATGCGGGCATTCCGCTATCTTCTTGCAAGCTCTGGCTGGAGAATAACTTTGTCGAACGGGCTAATAAGATGCTCTGAGGAGCCTAATTGTAGGATAGCAAAACATATCTGGCCTAAGCTGGACAAGCGTAAATTTCGCCCTCTCCTCTACTTGGAGCGACCACTGCTGCGACATGTTATTGGAGTTCTCACAGGGCATTGCCTCATGGGAACCCACGCCACTAGAATGGGTTTGCTCTCTGCCGAGAGCTCGTCGATGCTCGTTCCTCCTTCTTTTGAATGTCTGGCCGAACTAGATTCAGCCAGTGTGCGCTTCATCAGAGCTACGAAGTGGTTCCATTTCTAGGGTAAGAGCAGGGACATGTCTCTAATACGGCATCACAACGGGCCCACGGTGGACTAAGTGTGCCCTTTTCCTGAGAGATAATGGCATCCGAGATAACCTAAACTAACCTATAGATATTTTTATCGATTTTGTTATCGGTTTTGTAATAAATTTGGGTATCGATTTTATTATCGATATTGTTCACGCCCCTCCTTACTAATTCATCGTCGCCGCACCTGCATTTCCAGTTAACGTCGCTATCATCGAATTTGCATTCACACCCCCTCATCGCACGCACTCATTACACATCACATCTTTGCAGTTGTTGTTGCCGTCGCTAGCATCGCTGACTTACATATGTAGCTATTGTCTTCGTTGGAGCTCCAGTTTTTTCTATCCCCACTGTCTTCGCACATTCGTCATCGTTTTTGTTTGTCGCTGCAGCATATTTACCATGCATATGCATGTGCATATGTTTGTACATATGTACATACATACTCACATACTTACATACCTATGTATGTATGTACAAGTACAACTTCTCCATCATACTCTTTGCACTTATCATTGTACAATTTAGCTATTTCACAGAATCATTCGACATTTCACCTTCAATTTATTCAAAGTCAAATAGCAGGACATTTCCACGGAAATATTTTAAATTTTCTGCTTATATGCATATTCTATTTAGCTGTAAGAATTAATTACTCTAAAAACCTCGACAAATGAAGACGTCGCCAATAAAAATATTTAAACCTTTATAGCGCGTTTTGATTTTTTTGGTTAAGCGATTTACAGTTGTAGAAAAGGCTCTACAATTCACCACGGTCCTTCGAGCCGGATCTCGAGGACTAGATTCGGTTCATAAAAATTTAAATTTTTTAAACATTTATCTCGGACAAAATTTGCATAATGGAATCTGAGACAATCCAAGTGGATGATGGCGCCTCCTTAGCATCATCCAACGCCAGCGAAGCAGAGCGAGAAGCAACAGGTATTCCCCGCAACATACGAATAAAAATTCATCAGCGTGAAAATCTTTTAACACGCTTGCGTTCGCTGCATCTCGGTGTTATCGATGGAGAAACTTCGTCGTTGCGTCAACTTACGGCGAAATTGGACTTGGTAGAGCGCCAATACAGTGCGCTGGACACATTTCAAACACAATTAGAAGAGCTTGATGAATCTCAACTAAACGAAAATCATCGTGGGATTCTTGAAGAGAGTTATGTCGAGGCGAAGGCTGCAATTCTCGAATTCTATGTTGAAAGAATCCAACCTTTGAGTCATATGAGCAGCACACATGTGGAGCGCCAACCCACACATCGCATCAATTTTCCGAAATTGCAGTTAACGAAATTCAGCGGGAAGCAGTCGCAGTGGTTGGACTTCTACAATGTCTTCACCACACTTGTGCACAACAACAAAGACTTGACAGAGGTTGAAAAATTTCAGTACTTACGGTCGTGCCTCACTGACGAAGCCTCGCGACTCATACAATCACTCGAAGTAACAAACAACAACTACAATGCAGCGCTGGAGCTCATAATCAGTCGGTTCAACAACAGCCGGTTAATCTCCCAGTCACATATGCAGCAAATTTGCGACCTCTCGAATTTGTCGTCATCGAATACCTCATCGCTTCGCAACTTCATCGACACCATTAATGTCAATCTTCGGGCCATGCAGTCGCTAGCGTCTTCGGAACAAATCGGTGAAGCAGTTTTGTTACACGTGATAACAAGCAAGCTAGATTCATCTACTCGCACAAAATGGGAAGAAGAAGTGGCCATCAAGTGGAATTGCAGAAGCTCATCACCCTTACAGATACCAACTTGGGCAGACCTCGCTACATTTCTTGAGCGTCGCTGTCAGACATTCAACATGCTTGAAATCAACAAACCAGCCAACCAGTCGTCAACCTCTGTGAAAAACACATTCAAATAAAACAACAACGAATAACAAGTATGCCTTGGCAGCTGTGAATTCAACTCCAAGGTGCCTGCTGTGTGATAATAGCCCTCACCACCGCCCGTTTAATTGTGAAAAGTTCATGACCATGGGTCCGTTTAATAGATATCTCCTTGTGAAGCGTCTTGACCTATGTTTGAATTGCTTGGGTAAGAACCACACTTCAAGCAACTGTCCATCCAGTCGTAGGTGTCAGCAATGTCGCGTAAGTCACCATACATTGCTACACAGAACGTATGGAAACGAAGATGTTCCAAATAGTACCAGCAACAACACCAGTGGCCCGGAAAACGCGAAGTGCAAGCAAGTAGCCATAAAAGCCGAGCAGGTTCACGGTGATGTCATCCTTGCTACGGCTCGTATTCGCCTGTGCAATTCATCGGGATCGTCCCTCATTGTTCGCGCACTTTTAGACTCAGGGTCACAGCTGAATTTCATCACAGAGCATATTGCACAACACCTACGTCTACCACGTACCAAGCGAAGCAATGAAGTTTTAGGCTTAGGTGCCACATCGACAAAGACACATCAGCTTTCAGAAGACCAAATTAGGGTGGATTGTTTCCGGTACAGCTCCAACAGATTCATCGCACACTACAAATTCATCTCCATCATTCACATCGTTGTCAACATTGCCTACGTATGAAACGTTCATAGCTGTGGACAATCAATTACCATTGGATAACCTGATGGAGAGATTTTGGACAATTGAAGGCTACAACAGTCCACAAAAAATTCTCTCAGACAACGAACTGGCTTGCGAGAAATTCTTCAAGCTCACTACGACAAGGTGCCCGGTTAGCGGCAAGTTCATAGTTCGCCTCCCTTTCAAGGAGGATCCAGTTACGCTAGGCCAATCTTACGACATAGCGTATCGAAGGTTAGTAGCGCTTAAATACAAATTACTAAAGAATCCCTCACTTCTAAAGAGTTATCGCGAGTTTGTACATGAGTACGAGCAGATGCAGCACATGAAAATTGTCGAGAACGGCAAACAAGGCAGAAATTTCATTCCCCATCATTGTGTTATGAAGACTGACAGCAGCACCACAAAACTACGCGATGTGTTTGACGCGTCGTGCCAAACTTCAAGTGGAAAATCATTGAACGACATGCTTCGAGTAGGCCCTACGCTTCAAGATGACATCTTCACGATTCTAATTCGATTTCGAAGTCACAAATACGTTTTGATAGCCGACATCGCAAAAATGTACCGGCAGGTGCCGGTTAACAATGCTGATGCGCCATGGCAATGTATTTTGTGGCGCGATTCGCCACAAGCTCCCGTGAAGATGTACCAGTTGCAGACGGTTACATATGGGACGAGCTGCGCGCCCTATCTTGCCACGAAATGCCTGCTGGAAGCGGCTTAAACGGAGGCCGAGGAGTTTCCAATAGGATCAGCCATTACCCTCAAGGACTTCTACGTTGATAACCTAATGACCGGAGCTCCTACTGTTGACACGGTCATTGAAATCAAACGGCAAGTTACGGCCATGCTTGAACGGGCGGGATTTCCTCTACGCACATTTGCTGCAAATAACATGGATATCATTGATGACGTGCCATTAGACGACAGAGAAAAAATCATCAACCTAGACGACACAGATTACATAAAAACTCTTGGCCTAAGGTGGTCTCCTTCTACAGATGACTTTTTCTTCTGCTACAATGGCACCAGTATCGCGTAAAACAACCAAGCGTTCCATATTATCACAGATAGCTGCCTTGTTTGATCCGCTTGGTTTGCTTAACCCTCTCATCGTCTCTGGCAAAATCCTGATGCAACAGCTGTGGGAGCTGAAGCTAGATTGGGACGAAAGCGTGCCTCAAGACATTTATACTCAGTGGCGCGCGTTTCAGGATCATTTGTGCCTCATTAACAACATTCAAATACCAAGGTATGTTCCAATAACTAACACAACTGAAATCCACGCTTTTGCAGATGCTAGTACCAGAGCTTATGGCGCTTGCATTTACCTTGTGACGCGCATGGAGAAAGAGACATCGTCCGCCCTGCTATGTGCAAAATCTCGTTTGGCACCAACGAAGCAAGTTAGTCTACCTCGGCTGGAGCTGTGCGCGGCATTGCTATTGGCCGAGCTTCTACAATCGGTTGTCGCAATATTTTCACCTAACTTGAACAACATTCACTGCTGGACCGACTCATTGATTGCATTGTGTTGGATTCGAGGGGAGCCGAGTCGGTGGACAGTATTTGTGGCCAATCGTGTCTCCAAAATCCAACAGTTGACATCCCAGTACAAATGGCACCATGTACCATCTGAAATGAACCCCGCTGATATTATTTCTCGTGGCACAACAGTGGCTTGCATCCGGAAAAATCAACTCTGGTTTCAGGGCCCTCCGTTTTTGAAGCTTGGTCAAGGAGAGTGGCCAAGATCGTCATTAGCCGCTGAACCAGATGTTCCTGAGCATCGCAGGCAACGAGTGGTATTAGTCGTCGAACGTGAAGTAGATATTATTGCGGAAAACAAGTACATAAACAGCTATAACAAATTTCTGCGTATCTTCACGTATGTAAAGCGTTTCATCACGAAGGTGCGTGGATATTCTATCACACCCGAAGAAATAGCTGACACACTTGAACTAGTATGCAGAAGAATTCGGCAAGTACACTTCCCTAATGAATATTTTAAACTCCTAAAAAACCACCCCATAAATAAAAATTCTAAACTTGCTTCGCTGTCACCGTTTATGCATAACCAACTAATGCGAGTTGGAGGAAGACTAAAAAACTCGACCCTGAGCTTCAACGCCAAACATCCAATCGTGCTTCCCCATTCCCATCCCTTCGTACGCACCCTTGTAACGCATGTACATCGCACAAATCTTCATGCTGGTGTTCAAACACTATTGAACATTCTTCGAGACAAGTTCTGGGTCATCGGCGCACGAACAATTATCAGGCAAGTTATTCATAAATGTATTATGTGCTACCGACATCGTCCAGTCGTGACAGAGCAGATCATGGGTGCATTGCCTGCAAGCCGAGTTACAGCATCGTACCCGTTTGAAACTACAGGTGTAGACTACTGTGGTCCCCTATCAGTTACTCAAAGAATTAGAGGCCGTTCACCAATTAAGGTGTACATCGCAGTTTTTATCTGCTTCACTACAAAGGCTGTGCATTTGGAGATTGCTCCTGACCTGACGACCGCCGCTTTCATCGCGACACTCAAGCGTTTTATAGCTAGGCGTGGAAAGTGTCGCGTTATTGTCTCAGACAACGCAACAAATTTCATTGGAGCAAACCGAGAGTTACGGGAACTGCTTCAGTCATTTAAAGCACAAGCACACATAGAACGCGTGGAGGATTTCTGCAGAAACGAAGGGATCGAATGGAAATTTATTCCACCAAGGTCACCACACTTTGGTGGCCTGTGGGAGAGCGCGGTGAAACTTGCCAAATACCATTTGCGTCGCGCTATCGGCATCAACGTGCTATCACACGACGAACTCCACACCGTCATCTGCCAAGCAGAGGCAATAATAAACAGTCGACCGCTAACTCCAATATCCAGTGACCCTAATGATCTTCGCCCACTTACGCCGGGTCACTTCCTCATCGGCCGATCTCTTCTCACCATTCCTGAACCATCAACAACTGCCAGCTCAACTATGTTAGGCCGCTATCAACACGTCCAATATATTCAACAGCAGTTCTGGCATCGTTGGCAGCAAGATTATCTAAAGGAGCTACAAAAACGTTCGAAGTGGAACACTGCCTCACCCAATATTGAAGTAAATGACCTAGTGCTACTAAAGGAGGACTCTTTACCACCACTTAAATGGGCCATGGGTCGCATTATAGCTACTGTGCCAGGTGACGATGGCAGAGTTAGGGTGGTAGAAGTTAAAACAGCAGATGGCGTCTATAAACGGGCAATAGCAAGGGTATGTAAACTACCAATTGACAACTCGAGTTTAGCTGAGTCACATTGAAAGCCATGCTTTCAAGGGGGGAGTATGTTCACGCCCCTCCTTACTAATTCATCGTCGCCGCACCTGCATTTCCAGTTAACGTCGCTATCATCGAATTTGCATTCACACCCCCTCATCGCACGCACACATTACACATCAAATCTTTGCAGTTGTTGTTGTCGTCGCTAGCATCGCTGACTTACATATGTAGCTATTGTCTTCGTTGGAGCTCCAGTTTTTTCTATCCCCACTGTCTTCGCACATTCGTCATCGTTTTTGTTTGTCGCTGCAGCATATTTACCATGCATATGCATGTGCATATGTTTGTACATATGTACATACATACTCACATACTTACATACCTATGTATGTATGTACAAGTACAACTTCTCCATCATACTCTTTGCACTTATCATTGTACAATTTAGCTATTTCACAGAATCATTCGACATTTCACCTTCAATTTATTCAAAGTCAAATAGCAGTACATTTCCACGGAAATAATTTACATTTTCTGCTTATATGCATATTCTATTTAGCTGTAAGAATTAATTACTCTAAAAACCTCGACAAACGAAGACGTCGCCAATAAAAATATTTAAACCTTTATCGCGCGTTTTGATTTTTTTGGTTAAGCGATTTACAATTGTAGAAAAGGCTCTACAATTCACCAGATATTTTTATCGAATTGGATACTGATTTTTTTATTGATTTGGGTATCGATTTTTTTGAAGTGAAACTTCTTAGGCGGCGGTATCGCAAATATGGGGAGTGAAATTTTTAAACTGAAAACGTCTCTTTGCCGCTACCAAGCAATATATGTATAAATGATGCAAGCGTGCTTCACGTAACAACAACCGTTCGTACATATGTACATAAGTTTGTATGGATATATTTATGTAGAAGCAAACGGGCTTCGTTGATGTACTGATGGGCATATGTATGTACTTATGGACAGCAATGTTATCATGTATGTACATATGTTTGAATGGTTGTATATATATTTGTACGTATGTACATATTATTGTGTATGTACATATGTTTGTGTACATGTATATATGCACATATGTAGTACAAACGAAAACAAATCGAAAACGAAATCTAATAAGCTGCTCGTTGATATAAGTTGTGTTCCCCCTCTTTTCTGGGTTAAAACCTGTAAAACTGTCAAAAGGCAAAAGAAGCCAGAGAACCGAGTACGGGAACGCTTTCTGGTAAATTCCTGTAAATTCTTGCAACTTCTTGCAAGCTAGGGAACGGGACTATAAACGCGAACTATACTGATTGTCAAAAATTATGTGTTTGTTGCACATTTGTTCGTGTTTGTCACGATCCAGAAAATAAAGGTCGCACCATTCGCGGACCGCTTACCCTCTCTTCGTCGATTTGACAGCATCCACCCAATCGCTGGCGTCATAATATATTTTATTTACATTCACTGTTGCCAACTTCATGCTTTTCACACCAAATTTAGTGGGTATTCAAAACGCGAAAATTTTTATGCTTTGTGCTTGGTGCGTTTTTGGTGCCTATGTTTTTAGTTTGAAGACTTATAGCAATCGTAAGTGTGCTAAGCAATTTTACAAAAATTTATACAAAATCATGGCTCAGTGACAATCATAACAACGACAACGAAATATGTGCAGCACCTTCAATCATGCCAGAAGAAATCTACCGTTGTGCAAGAAACATTGATTTTTATTGATTTGAATCGGCATCCTTACAATAAAATTATGTATTCATATAAAGTCCATAAAATACACCAATAAAAATTTGGTGCTTTTTCAAATTCAAAACTTGGCAATACTCTCTCTTTTTCTTGTCGAGTTCGTCTTGCTCTCTCATTCTGGTATATTTTGACGTCACGGCCAATTGCTCTCAGCTCGATTGGCGCAATCTTGAATTCTATCATTATTGCATGTTTGTCATTGTGCGTGTAATTTTCTAAAGTAGTTTTGTGCTCTCGCTATCTCCTTGTATTAACTCGTCCTTCGTTGGTATACTCTGATGAACATATGTGAGGATGATAGCAAGGCCAACTTATATAAGGTAGTATTACAGGAGCAGTTGAAATTTTCGCCCGAAGTTGGTCAAAGAAAGCCATAAACGTAGCGACCGTTGGTTCAACTTGGTGTTATTTTGCTCTAGATTGCACAAAACGTCCAACTTGATTACGGATTTATTTGAACCAACGTTTTCGGCTTGCATTTTGTCAAAAGGATGTGTTTGTTGTAATTCATTCTGTCTTTTACTACCATTATGCATAGGCCAATTCATGAAATCATTTCATGCGTTTTAGTAGAAACTGAATGAATGGCCACCATTTCATGATTTCAATTAAAGCGAAATAGAGTTTATGCACTTAGTTTTTACTCAGATCGATGAAATGATTTCGTGAAGTGGACTACGCATACATGTGATACTTATGCTTTTAATTTATAAGGTAATTGTATGTTTTTATACTCTTGCTACCACATGAATATATGAATTCGTTATAAGAATATATGAATTCGCCTTGGAAGATAGAAAGCGAGTAAGAACAAATGCCGAACAAAGGAATTTTTCTTCTTTCAACTTAAATAAATGCATTTTGCATACAAAAGTGCGTACGTTACTTAGTGCCTTGGTAATGGTGAATTCGTAAGGATCTATTGATTGCATTATAAACATTTTTATTTATTTGTTAAACATACAATTACTTCCATTACAACCCGGTCCTATGGATGCTAGAAGCGCGAATTCATATAAGGTGGTGTTACCGGATAATGAATAAATAAATTATATGTATATCAGAAAATTAATAAGATGAATAATGAAATTATTATTTGATTTCTAACCAAACCTATGTATGTAACTCAATCGCCTAATGGTTTGCCGAACCGTAAACATATGTTTACACATCCAGTTTCTTGAGTAGGTACCTGGTACTCACATCTTTTTTAAGAAGTTTCACTTCTATCATGTGTAGGGTTTTACACACGCATTTTTTTCGATGTTTTTTGTTGATTTTCGGGATTTTCGGAAACTTCGCGACTACTTCAACATTCTCGGGGTTATATCGGGATTTTTGAGACTATTCCGGGACTTACTCGAGGTTTTCGAGATTTCTTTCGAANTGTGTTTGTTGTAATTCATTCTGTCTTTTACTACCATTATGCATAGGCCAATTCATGAAATCATTTCATGCGTTTTAGTAGAAACTGAATGAATGGCCACCATTTCATGATTTCAATTAAAGCGAAATAGAGTTTATGCACTTAGTTTTTACTCAGATCGATGAAATGATTTCGTGAAGTGGACTACGCATACATGTGATACTTATGCTTTTAATTTATAAGGTAATTGTATGTTTTTATACTCTTGCTACCACATGAATATATGAATTCGTTATAAGAATATATGAATTCGCCTTGGAAGATAGAAAGCGAGTAAGAACAAATGCCGAACAAAGGAATTTTTCTTCTTTCAACTTAAATAAATGCATTTTGCATACAAAAGTGCGTACGTTACTTAGTGCCTTGGTAATGGTGAATTCGTAAGGATCTATTGATTGCATTATAAACATTTTTATTTATTTGTTAAACATACAATTACTTCCATTACAACCCGGTCCTATGGATGCTAGAAGCGCGAATTCATATAAGGTGGTGTTACCGGATAATGAATAAATAAATTATATGTATATCAGAAAATTAATAAGATGAATAATGAAATTATTATTTGATTTCTAACCAAACCTATGTATGTAACTCAATCGCCTAATGGTTTGCCGAACCGTAAACATATGTTTACACATCCAGTTTCTTGAGTAGGTACCTGGTACTCACATCTTTTTTAAGAAGTTTCACTTCTATCATGTGTAGGGTTTTACACACGCATTTTTTTCGATGTTTTTTGTTGATTTTCGGGATTTTCGGAAACTTCGCGACTACTTCAACATTCTCGGGGTTATATCGGGATTTTTGAGACTATTCCGGGACTTACTCGAGGTTTTCGAGATTTCTTTCGAAGAAACCTAAAAAATCTCGAAAATCCCGAATTGTCCAGAGGATCCCGAAAATCCCAAAGTAGCCTCGAAAATCTTGAAATAGTTCAAAAGGAAGGAAGGAAGTTCCGAAGGAATCCCGAAGATTCCGATAGTCCCTAAGAAGTCTCGAAAATCCCGAATTAATCTCGAGGATCCCGAAAATCCCATAGTTGTCTCGAAAACTCCGCAATAGTCCAAGAATCCCGAAAAGGGGAAAAAATCCCGAAGTAGTCCCGAAGAATCCGAAAATCCCGAATTAGTCCTGAGGATCCCGAAAATCTAAAGTAGTCTCAAAAATCCGGAAATAGTCGAAAAATCCCCCCGATATAGTCCGAAAATCCCGAAATAGTCCCGAAGATTACGAAAATCCTGAATAAGTCTCGAAAATCCCCAATTAGTCCCGAAGATTCCGAAAATCCCGAAAATCAATAATACTGAAATAGACAAAAAATCTTGAAGTAGTCCCGAAGATTCCGAAAATCCCGAATTAGTCCCAAAAATCCCGAAGATTTTCGTAGAACTGGAAGTAGGAAGATACTTGAATATCTTATTTGCGTTGCATACCAAAAGTATTATTTAGTTGAAAAATTGCAAACGAAATTTATTTGCTATACAAATCCAATCACAAATAAATTTTATTTTTTATTTGGTCAACAAACCAAATCACAAATCAAATATATTTTTTAATTGATAGCGGATTTTAGATCGATAAGGATTTAAAATCACGCTACCCTGCAACCGCATGACCGTGACGTTAACGCTGCTTCTCTCTCTCTCTATCAACAGCAGATTCGATATGTTTCTACGCACTTCTACGGATGTGTATAAAGTTAGCGAAACAACATCAAGCAAAAAATGTCGCACATACCCATGAATTTGCCGTTTTTTTTGCCGTTAATTAGTTGTGGAAAAAATAATTTTGTCGCTCTGGTATTTTTTTAGATAT